GTCAGTTCATTTTCAGTGTTCACATGTTGTCGGTGGACTGAAGATGCTGCCGGTAACCTCTCCAATGTTGGTCGATCGTTGATGATCCGTCAAAATACTAGAAATACTAGAATAATAAATTGTCAGCTTATCTGCACATTAATGAGTACAATTCCGAGGATAATCAAAAAGGCATTAAACAATGTAAATTTATGGTCTTAGAGCTGCAGTCTTTTCACGTTTTTCAAATTTTCAATCAACTAGGTATCCCGCAAAAGTACTATAATATCAGCTTCAAATCGACTTAATTGTGTTAGTATAATATACCTACTTATACATTATAATAAAAACATATATAGGTAGGTACCTACCCTAGATCAAAATATGCGCACAAACATTTCTGAGCCCTTTTGTTTGTTGTGCTTATTTAGGATGAGTAGCGTACTATATAATATTGCTGAGAATAGAACTAATCGAAATTTAAATTCAACAAAATTGTTGTTACAACAATAACAATAATAATGTAGAATAGACCAAATGGCTTGGCCCTATTGGATTTTTATCACCGGATAAACAAATGATGGCAGAAGAATTCGTTGATGAAGTAAAAAAAAAAAAAATGGCGGAAAAGTAAGTCCCTAGGCTCCTCTGGCTTCTGTAGTTGTACAATACCTAACTACTAAATGCCTTCTAGTCCTCCTATACTGTATAATATGTTGTTAAATAATGTCTAAAATATATTTTTGCTCCAAATCGAACTGAGTTTAATAAATAATAATTAACAAACTATATAACTCACTAAATACAGTATACATGTATTATAGTCAATGGTAATTTAGAGGTTAGGTAACCTTTATGCATTGATATATACAAATCGTGTTTAGCTTCTCAGTTTTGACGGTTTCTATACTATAGGTAATCGCAGTGGCATAGCCGGGAATTTTTTATTTGTCGGGGGGAATTATAGATTCTATAGGGATTTTTAAGACAATTTTTTTTTAATATATAATAATATAGGCTAAAATGAACGCCCTTGCATAACTGCAGTGTGTTTGATTATAGTTACGAAGTTATTACAATTTTTAGAGCAGCTATTGATTGTTGGGGCTAACACCGACGGGCAATGACAATAACTAAATCGATATAACACACACCTAACGAACCACCTTTTTATTATTATTGTTATTAATAATATTACAGACGTTTTCTCATTTCCTGGGACGGTTTAAAATAAAATAAAATCGGGTACTTATCTAAGTGGGTTACTACGCTCTGCTATACATTAGGTATCTAGAGAGTTACTGTATAATGGATGTGTTAAATATGATATCAATGATAAAAATTCGGTGGCTTCGTTTTGGGAGGTGGCAAAGTGGGAATTTTCCCCGTCCGATTTTAAAAACATCCCGGTATTTCCAATTAACCTTTATCATATTTTACTAGTGCAAAACCATGCCTATTTTTATAATGTTTTGCAAAATACTGTACCTACATATATATTGTGCAATAAGAAATTACCGTCAAAATTGGTATATAGTTAATAGTTGACATATATTTATTCTATATTTTTTGAAATTATCCATGTGGGCAGCTGCGGGTTCAAGACGTCTTCTGACCCCTCTATTGAAAACTGAAACGACACCACTGTATAATATCATTGTACAGGTACGAATGTACGATCAACGTTTCTGAGCGAAGACTGTCTCTCCTCTCGGAATCTAAAATTGTGTTTCACGACCACGAAGTGACATTTCCGTACGGGCAATTCGACCGTGAACCGAAAATATAAATCGGCACGACGCAAACACAATCAATGGCCGGTGAATGTGGACGAATGTCGCGTTATATTATTGCGTCGACGACGTGCCGTTGTGGGCAAATCTAATTTTGGTAAAATATTCCTCGAATTATTGGCCTGCAGACATCGTTATATTAGTCGATAGTCGGTCGGGTGGGGGGGGGGGCGTAGTACCTATAGGTACCTCCTGCACCTACCCATACTGGCTTACTGCGTACCTTAGCGATTGGCAATTACCATCGTAGAAACCATTACAAAAGCTATTTGTCGGCACTCACGGGACAAACTAGAAATGGAGGTACCTCCACCTACCGGTACAATGCACACGGCACGATATCAATATTATAGGTACGCGGCGACTGCATTTCTATATATTATATTTTATTGTTTGTTCTGTGCGACAATATCAATAGGTAGATCTTTGTTCTCTTCTTTATTCTCAAACAGCCGAGAACCGCCTGCCCGCACGGCTGCAGGCCATCCAATAGGGTTTTCATTGAAAACTTTTCAACAATTCCCACATGGTCACACGGTATAGCTACCTACGTATAGATTCGTTCATAATACGTATAATACACGATCGTGCTGGCGGGTTGATGGGGTTAGTTGGATTATCACCGCCCTCGTCCATTTTCATCGGCCGGCCATCGCCTCAGAGTTCGGGGTGTTGGAGTTTTTTTTTTGCAATCATTTACAATAAATTATCGTTTGTCAAACGGATAGAAATCATTTGATGTGTGAAAAGAAAAATCACATTGTGTGCCAGTCTGAGAAATAAATGAGTAATAATACCCCCTTGCAGGTAACTCGATATAAACTCGGATCATAGATTCATTAATTATAATTATATGTCTAATAGTTGATAATATATTATTATTTGTATGGCTTAGATTACCCACGTGGGTAATAGGATTGTAAGTAGGTACCTACCTACCTGTCTACAACCTGAGCGCAACAAAGGCGGATTGGGAAAATAACATAATTTGTATATCGTCAAGCGGTCATTGTTAATTTCTCGGTGAACTCATTTTATAATATTAATAACTGATTTGTCTTTAAATTAAATTATTTTCTTAAAACGTTATTCATCTAAATATTTAGTAGGTTCTCAGCTGATTTGAGCTGATATGAAATATTTGGTAAGCAACTAATAGAATATAATATGTCATAATGTAGGTACCTACGCCCTATTGGGTACGCAGTGTTTTAAAACTTGTAAGGTATGCGTATTCATTTAAAAGCATTCAAATACTTTTTTGAGTACCTATTAAATATTATCTGGGATGATTCAAAAATCTTATTTATGAATGATTAAATACACTTGGCAATAATCAGAAAAAATTAAAAACAGCTTATTGCTTACGGCTCAGTCCATCGGGAAAAATCCGAACTCCCAGTTGGCCTAATCGCCAAATGCGCCTGTATGCAAAGGTAGGCATCATCTAAATTAGGTACTTAGGTGACTAGAAAATTAAAGTATTTTTGTATCCATTGTAATAACTTGGATTTTATCAGTTACCTAATTCAAAAAATAATTGATTAAAGTTAAAGTCAAGTTTATAGGCGTACCTAGGTAATATACGAGTAGGCATTACATATTGTCTATAATTATTTTTTGTTTAACCATGATTTATACAGTTAGGTATTTAAAATTAAAATAATTTCAACTTGTTGACCCTAAATGTGCTTCTAACTTGTAATATTGCCTAATCCACTACAGTACCTAATAACGTCGTTAGTATAGAAGGGAGTGAGAAGTAGGATTTTTATTAAAATAATTAGTTATTGTTTAAAAATAATTCATAGTTGTTTGTTGCACAACAATCAGTACCTGTAGGCCATCATAATATTATTATGTGTGATTGTGTGAACCAAATTTATATAAAACAAAAAAATTAACTCATTTTAATTGTTAATGCCTATAATAGATAATTTTAGATACCTAGTTTAATGTTTTCATCATTATTAACTTTAAAATGTTTGAGTTGAATATATTGTTTGTTAACTCTGAACTTTAAACTTAACCTAAGTAACTCATTATTTTCATTAACTTACCTCTACCTTTGTTGACATGTATAAAAAAATTGAATTTCTAACGAGTACCTACCAAGTATCTTCTACTACCTACGTGAGTACCTACCTACCAACTGTAGACTGTAGCAGTTAATTAGTTGTGTCATAAGTGGGTTTTTAACATTTATATGAGTGGAGTTGTACTAATTACCAATGTATAAAGTGCAAATTATTAAAATACATAAACTATATGTTTGTCAGTAGAGGGTAAAAGGTAATTTATTATGTTAAGTAAGGATTTGTGGATTTGTGCGAACCAAACATTTGTTTATTTTACGAATTACATTTTTAATATGTTTTCAGTGTAAACCATCAATTTATTTTATTCATTAGGAACCAATGTTGGTCATTAAAATATTAACTCTATGAAGTCAAACAATTGATTAAAAACACATTATTCTTAGACTCTTTAGTTGACATTATTTTGATACCGCAAATCTATCTCATTTGCATAAATATAGCAATAATAGTAGGTAGATAAAATATGTAATCTTATAGTAGGAAGGATGACTCGTAAGGGTGAAGTGCCAGATTAACACACAAAAAATAAAAAATAGATGTATGTAATCTACTGAATACTTGTAGGTAATTTTAATATTAAGCTTTTTGCATCAGTTGTTCACCAGTACAGTGTATTCAACAAGTTTAAGAACATTCATACATTTATTTTTTAATAATTTAAGGACTTATAGACTTATGTTATTATCAACAAGATATTTTGGGCTCTTTTATATCAAGCAAATATTATATTTATGGATTTTCATTTAATATTCTAAATTTATAGTTAGAAAGATGGGTCAAGATGCTAATAGTATCTTATTTAAATATTTTTAACAGTTTTATAGTGTTATGATAGGTTAGGTTGCATTGAAATAAAATGAATTCAATTGAAATTGACATGTTTAAGATTTTATTAAAACAAAATTTATTTATTAAGTAGGTACAATTATTTGATTTTTAAGATAATATAATATTCATATGACAATGTTACAATAATACATGGCAACTTAATGTATAACAATAAAAGTACCAACGACAACAATAACAGTGGTAAAATACAAACAAGTTACTTATTTATTGATTTGAAAAACAAATGCATAGAATAATATGACACATATAATTAAATTATTAAATTTTTTTTGTATTTCAGTCTGTGCGCAGGATACATATCAGGAGTCTTACAAGGAAAATCACAAGATGAATGTGTGTCCATGGGCCTGAGAGCGGCTACATCAGCACTTTTATCTCATAGGCCAGTTCCCATAGAGCTGAATGTCAACTAACTGTATGAAATAAATAATATTTACTTTCACTATACAAAACAACTGTATGATGTAATTTTAAGAATACCATTTGTGAAAATTATAAATAACAATAATAATTCATGTTAACCAAATACCACAATATGTGTAATTTATACTGTGAGATTATCACAGTAATATTAGAACTTATTGTTTAATAAAAATGAAATAAAATTTGTTTTTATTAAATTATAAAAATTATTTTACAACATTAACACTTTCATATTTGCACACAACTGAAAACATGTCGCCGCCTAAACGTTTAGCTAGCCAGCGGTTTTTTATTATGGCCAATTTGAAACAATCACACACAAATTCTGCATCTATGTTGGTGTGTACAGCTCGACCCATTCCTTCCAATATAATCAAATCCACAGTAGTCAATTCATTTGCCAATTCTCGTTCCAATCGACTAGAAAATTAGAGAACAATCACTTGATATTTGAATAAATAGATTATAATTAGGTTACCAATACAATTACTTGACTGCCTAAATAATATTATAATACTACTGTATACTACCAATAAAATCTTAAAAGGATGTCAGTGCACCATTTGTTTTATCTCTATGAACATAACAAATGTATGGTTAGCAGAATCAATTTTGAATTGTAACATTTATTATAAAGGTGAATTCACCAATTATTAAACTTTAAGCTAAGAACATTACCTATGTCCCTATGTTGGCTTTAAAAACACAATTTATAAGTATTTTTAAAATAGTAATACACAATTAATGTTATTAACTTAAAGTTTGATGGCAGATGAATTCTCTCTAATATAAAAATTAATAACAAAGAGTTAGTTATACTAAACGTAAATCTGACGGATTGAGCGAGAGAGAGAAAACTAATAGTGAGCTTACATCCTTTAAGACTTTTTATTAATGTAATATAATTCCATAACACATTGTTTAAATGGTTATTGGTTCAGTATTAATAATGTATTTCTTACCTAAGATCTAAACATGGCCCACCTTGAGCTGTCTCCATTGATTTCAACCTGCCTTCATCTAATCCTTTAGAAATAATAGGACAAATAGTCGCAATTTGACGTAAGAGTACAACAAGTTCTGAATGAGTGACATCATTAAGTGCTGGAGCTGAATTGGCACACAGTATTACTCTTGAGCCTTGACGTAGCATTTCTCTGGCCAAAGGTAGTATTCCCAAAACTATATCAATACCACTGTTATCGATGAAAATTGCAATTTTTCTGTACGGCTCATTACATATTTTTTTAACCCAATCATCCAGACTGTCAATTAACCAAGGTCTAGCTATAAATAGTACAAAGAACCAAAATTATTTCAAATAAACCTAACCTAATTTTCTTTAACTATTTTTTATTGGTTATAAATTCTTACCAGGTATTCGGTTCCTTGCTTGTTTAAAATCAAATTCACCAGTTGTCATTAGAGCTACAGTTTCCTTCGCACCCCAATCAAAAGTATTCCCTGCTAAGACCCCCATGATTATTTCTTTTTGTCTTTCCTCTAGATCTAAGGAATCTAATTCTTCTAAACGTTCTTGAAGACACGTAAGCGCATATTCATTTTCTGTTCGTTTTTGCTGAAATATGTATTATTTGTAAAATTGTTAGTCATGTTAAAAAAAAATAAAATCTTACAGTTAAATATGGATCAGGAAAATCAAATTCTTTAAGACATTGATTGATTGTATCAAGAAGACCCCTCACAGTCAAATTACCATAAGCACTAAATGGTATAAACAAATAAAGATTTAAAAATAGAATTTAAAAAAAGGAAAAAAACATACAAAGGTTTTATTTTAAGCAATTGCACCCGAGAAATAAATTTCTCCTTGAACATGGCGGCCCGTTTTTCAGCTGTATCACTAGTTGGTTGACTGGCAATAGCATAATTCACATAATTTTCTATACTTTCTTCAAAGCAATTTAACCAATAGTCTCTGAAAATAATTAAAATAACCCTATATAATTTACAAATTACAACTCTTACATAACATCTTTGACCTAAGTTGATATTATAGAATTTTCACTAACTAAGATTTACACTAAATTATAAAGTGCGGTAAAATATAAGATCATTTCTAAAATAACACTAACCTAGCTTCTTTATCTGAATTTAAGTCAACTGTATCTGGAATGTAACTAGATGGATCTTTAAGCAATGGGCAAAATGTTAATGGGGATTCCCAACGATCAAGTTCGAGTTGGTCAACTCGTTTGCCAAACGACAATTGAGTGCGGTTACTTCCACTACCAGCATAATTTTCTAACCACGAAAACTTGTCACCATCTGCATGTATTTTCCAAATATTTAATTATGTATACAATAAGTACAACTATATTACAATAGAGAGCATTACCGCATTCTTCAGTGCCTTTTAAAAATGCTCCAATAGCTCCTAAATATCCTTCATGTCTTAAAAACAAACTTTGCACAGTTCCTCTAGACCAATATTTTATAGAAAATGATATAGTATGCATGCTGAGTGAACGATTTCTTAAAAAGTAACCGCCAAAATATACCTAAAAACATTTGATAAATATCATGGATATATTTTTTTATGTTTATAATGGTATATAATAAATGTAAATGCTAATACCTTTTTCAAATTATGCATCATTGCATACAAACAAGCAATTTGACCAATGTCATTGCTAATTGCAAACAGTAAACTTCTAGCCAGATCTGCTTCGTTGTAATCACTTTCTGAAAACACGAGAAATTAATATCAAAAAAGAAAGCATGTTTCACCTCTTTGTTGTACCTGCATTTTGACGAGGACATATTTTTCCAAAAGAAGAAGCAATTAAATCTGAGTGCATGCCAAGGGTCTCATAATCTCCACCATATATATCCTTCACAAGCATATCAGCCTTTCTATGATCTCCTTTTTCGGCAAGATCAAGTAATTCATCAAATGATTTGGCTTTAGTCAAAAGTGTACCAAGGCCCCAGAAAGTGCCACCTCCTGTAGCTGTACCACCGATACGCTCGTAACAATTGTCCGACTCCACTTTTAAAATACTCACACCGGATCCAATGTTAACCAACATATAAGGAAATACATGTGGGTCAGCTGTTTGAAACTCATACTCTGGGCTACCATTTCGGTTGTAAACAAATGCTTCATCACTTATATTTTTTAATAAAAAATTACATCCGGTGATTAGACATGTAAGCTCATCTTCTTTGTCTACTCTAAAATTTTCATAAGGATAATGTTAGTACAAATAAAAACATATTTAACTAATAATAACTAAACACACTTTAATCCCAATTTGTCTTGAATAAGTTTGCTATACTTGTATGCCCCACCTCCAGTAGCTTTAATGCTTTTTCCTTTTCGTTCATCACTGTTAACTAAATTGTCACCAATGAAATCCAAACAGTTTTCAATATATTTTGTTTCAAACTTGACAAAATGTAACCTTGCTTGTTCAGAATATGTGTAAACAAACTTATCATGTTTCTAGAAGATATTAGTGTGAATAGTCAGTTTAATTAACATTTAATCAAAGTAATTATTTACAATATATCATACGTCATCCTTGTTTTGGTCATCATTTTTGTCTATGTTATCGGTTGCATAATAAACTCGTCTAAATGATACTGTCGAATAATATGCTATTTTTGTAAGTGAACCACCTAAAACAATAAACTTTTAATATTACAGTTATTGGTATGTGGAAATAAAATAAGTCATACTATCAAGAAGGTAAGAATATAAAATTGCAAATATTGTAATAATATTTTAGTGACAAAGCTTTAACTGGGTAACAGTAAAAATTTAATATGGAGGGGTTTCAATCACTTAAAAAATAATTTTGGATAGAAATTAATAGTTTAAAACTGTCCATAAATATAAAATCTAAAGTATGAACTATACAAATCTATCAATATGGACTGCAGAAGTTGATAAATGTTGCATTGTCCATACTTATAATCACTCATTTTATCTACAGTTGGTGCCACTCTTACACTATTCTAAATATTAAAGCCTGTACAACATTTATAAAAACCAAAAAATTGATAAAAACAATGTTTCCACAGGAGCCACATTCTAAAGTTAACTCTCTCAGAGTTCCAACAAGATTTGTACTTATTCATTATTTTTCAATACTAATATTAAAAAATTGTGTTGAATAATTCATTAAAAGGTATTTTTAACAATAATTTAAAATATTGTAATAACTATCGTAAGATAAATCCACTTAAATCCATGCAATAAACTGTCATACAGACAACAAATTGTCATGATAATAACACAACTAAATACAATTAAAAATATTATAATAAGTATTTACCCTCTTCCCATAAATAGATCATGTAAAAAATATTAATTAAAAGTATTGAATAATGAATTAAGAGCACTGACTAATAGTTAATTGATACTGCATAGCATAGTAGTGGGCAAATAAAACTTTATCTAACATATATTATAATCGGTTGAGTACATGTTGAAATATTTAATTTATCATTTTGTAATGCATAATTAAAAAAGAAAAAATTGTAGCTATAATATTTGAGATTAAACATTAATAATTAGTTATTTATAACAAAGCAATACTCTATCAATATTTTATAACATAATTTAAAAAATGAACTTGGCACTTGACATTTTAGCATGTTTGATATACCCATATACGTGCTTTAGAAATTTAGTTATACCTACAAACCAAGTTGTATATTTATGGCTGGTTATATTTTATTCAGACTTACACAAGGCTAGACTTTTAGAAAATTTCTTTGATATTTCTGAAACTATCATGCACAATTATTTTAACTGACCTAAAATAAGAATAACTTCAATAACTAATACAATTGGGCAAGTAAGTCATATTTACAACATGACTATTACATTATACCAATAATGTAAAAACTGAATACCTTGGTACTAGGTAAGTTTAAAATCTTGTTTGAGAACTAAATAACAATTGAGTTATATCAAAAAATATTCAGTTTACAGAAAAATAAATGTACATATTAGGTATATTGGGTAAATTTGGCGTAAATAGAAATTCAAATTTCTTTTTATTTTTGAATGTATAACGTACCAATGTCTATTGCAAATTGTTTTGCATTTTTTAAGTTCCTGAAAACTTCCAAAGTATCGGGAAGCTTGATACTGTTTGGATTTCCTTTTTCTTCCATTGCGGTAGATACTTCCAATTATTATCTGTGGACATTAAAATTAAGTAAAATAGTTAAATTTACAAACAATTTTAAAATATTAATTTTCACCAATTGCACACTACAGTTCGATACTGATTTTTTTCTTGAATATTAAACCGAATAATTGAATGATAATATTGTGAATTGCAGTACTTTAAAAATTAATAGGACTACAGTAGTTGTACATACCAATTTGAAATGATGAGATTGTTTTTTTTTTCAACGAAACAGTGAGCTACTGCAGAGTACGGACCACAACTAATAACTAATGTATTACACAATATTGTTTTAATATTACCAATTACCATCGTCGAGTATAATAATTACACAAGTGCGGGGTAAGGATGTCGTGAGTACGATTATAGATAGTACTATCTTAATTTGTAGTGAGTTGAGAGCGTGATAATAAAAATAAATGTAAACAGGTTGCTCGATGCAGCAGCTGATGTTTTGCTTTTACATTGGCCAACAGTCGTGGTCAGGCCGCGTTACTTTGTTGTTGGTTCGACACAGATCGCGCCACCAGGATATAGTTCGTCAAAATCATGGCATGGTCAAAACCAGAAGAACAATATTATTTGACGTGAATTGGATAAGTACCTATTGTGTTTTTTTCGTCCTCAAAACGATGGTGTAGAGCATGATATAACTAATCTAATATAAACTAATATAGTTACATCATAGTGTAGAGTTGACGATGTGAGGTACCTAATTATCTGCTTCACTGTCGTTAAGTATATTTTTTTTTCATTCTAACGGTTACACTTAATTCCGATACGAACAAGTAGTTTATAAATAATCAAAACGACATTATTAATGCTACGTTCTATTTTATTTATAAGTCCACAAGTAAAATATTTAAATACAACATTTGCATTTTGTGTGGTGTTTGTCCAGGGAAATGACGGAATAATTAAGCAACGATGAAAATATGAAAATAAATAAATATATAACTATAATTCCATCACAGTGGAACAATATGAAAACATAATCGGTAAGTGTACATGTGTAGGTAATGTTAAATGTGAAATAAAATTAATAATGTGATATAGGTAGGTACCTAGTTTAATACTCAGGGTTTAAGCTATTTATAATATTTATGGCTTTTGGTAGCTTATACTTTATACATATTTTGTTATCAGTTCTCACTAGCGAGGCATGGGCCGAAAGTCTGAAATAGGGGGTAAATGTAAACGAGGACCGCGATTACGTTTTTTGTTGTAATAACTCGGCCCGAAAATTGCAGGTAAATAATGAAAAGACTAAAGAGCCGTTTGCAAACTCGGCCCGATAATTTTCACCAAAAAAATATAATGGGGAAGACATAATATAATTTGAAAATATTAAATAACATTATAACGTAGGCACTTAGCTAATACCGATATAGCTGTTTAATATCGCAGAATTTAATAATATGTAATATACACAATTATATAATTTAATTTTGGTACAACGAATTCGCTTACTTTTTTATGTACGATATGAAAATGAAAATATAACTAAATAATTTTTGGAAAATAATGAAAGTCGCCTTATCGTGGTGTCCTCTGGGTAATGGTAAATGAATTTAAAAATATTTTAAGATATTTATTAATTAGATATGAGAAGATCTATTTTTATTCTGGACGAGTTTACATATCAATCATTTTTAACTGAAAAGAAACCGGGGATTGTTTAGTGTTTTTCCCCATTTTTTTTCTTGGGCTGAATTCTATTTACAATCGCACAGAAATAGGACACGTATAAATGTCTATGTTGCGTGTATGTTGGACAAAGACAGAAAATCACCGATTCCAGCATCCCTTATAGTAACAGCAGTTTCTCCCAACCACGAATAAAAATAACAGGATATGCGTCGAGGGTTTCTACCAGATTTACCACTAAAAAAATGTAGCATGGAAAAAGTTTAAATTACATCTATTACCCAACAACTTAGTTCCTAACAAAACAAATCATGGCCCTTTATGTATGAGCATTTTAACCCAAGTTACGTAGTGGTAGTACAATTAATCAGAACTCTAATCCAGGTTGGCCAGCGTCTGGTGATTTTTAAGGAGGGTTATTACTTATTATTATAGGTAGATGAGGTTTCGCGGCAGTAATGCGAAAGCAGTTCCCGCGGCGCCGTCGGTTCAAACACGAAAAAAAGGTAGATGAGGTTAGGTAAATATTGTTAGTTCGGTTATGAACATATAATATTGTAATGTTTTTTTTTTATAACGTTTTTAATTTTTATGAATTATTTATTTGTGTAATTGTATAATATTCTAGTACTATTATATAATTTAGGTTCATTGTTGACATAATTGTTTCATATTCATTATATCTTTAAATTTGCTTATTAACCACGGTTTTAAAGTTTAAATCGAGTACTATCCATTTGGATAGTGTGAGGACGAGGTCACAGAGATGCGCAAACTAGGACATGATATTTTGGTCGGAGCACGGATCATTATTCTATCGTTTGCCGGAGTACACAACCGTGATTTAATGGTTGATATTATTATAAATACTACAACTATTGTTTGTTTTTAAATTTTCGTTGTACCTAGTTATCACGTTATAAGGGTTCAGCTTACAATAACATGTAATATTAATATGAAGAGCCCCGAACAAAGAACACCACCTTAAACTAATTATTGATTATATTATAAATATTCAACAACCAATAGTTCCTACCTAATAAAGTAGGTAATAACTAAATACTAAGAAGCCAAGTTTATACTAGTAAGTATTAAGTAGGTTGTAGGTATAGTAACTATGAATCTAGGACGTTCCCCCTTCCCGTGCCTCCCCCCACGATTCAGTGGACATTTTATCCCAAAAGGGGGAAAATTCCCTTCTGAGCAAATAATTAAAAGTAAAAATATTTAACTAAACAATAACTATTGAATCAATAAATTTACAAATGATTTAATTAATAATGTAATTCAGTAATTGAATAAATAAATAAATATTAATACAATAATTTAATTCAAGAATACTTTATAATAACACTATGCCGACACTAAATTCACCTAAATATATTTAAAATATTAAATAATATATAAATTACAAATACAAATAAATAAATGTAGATACTGCTTACGAGAATTTTCATTAAATAATTAGGTATACGAATTGTTAAGCTAATATATACTTCAATAATAATTTTACACAATTTTGGTTTATTAATCATTACCCATTAAATCCATAGCACAAATTATGGCAGTCGTTAGATGATCACCTATTTCGAGTAAAACCAAAGAACCGAATTTCCAATGTGTATAAAAAATGTATACTGATTGAGGGAGAAAATGTCTTAGTGCAAGGGGGAAACGTCCTCTACCCCTAAAATCCTTAGGGGTACGTCCAAATACCAGTAACTATGCATGGGGTGGTATGCAAGGGGAGTTTTAGATGCAACATTTGTCCAAAATGTAAAAGGTGACTTTTTACTATTGTCATCAACACAACCATAAAGTCTTTGATACAAAACCTCGGTATCAAGAAATAAATCCATTATGATTACAATGAATAATGATGACATTGTTGATTCAAAATTGCTCGTTGATCTTAAAATATAAATTTAAATCAACAACAACGGATATTCTTATACCTACTAAATAAAATGTTATTTCTACGTTTTTTAAACATTAACAGTTTTATAATAATTAAAAACAGAAACGATATCTTCTAATATTATTATTGAAATATATTTTGTTCAACTACCTATATGGTTAGCTACGTAATGTTGTATAATATATACAATTATAATAGGGGCCTGGTGTGGCTCAGTGCAGGTTGGCCGCAGTCACTGATCTGTGCTCACAACGTACACAATTTAGAGATGATGGATATCGGCATATTATTATGTCCTCTTAGCTTGCGTATCTCGTAATAAAGTTCAATTCACAATGACACCGCAACAGTATATCTAATAATAACAGACAAAGTTCCAATCTCCTCGTGTACATCGACCGATAGTATGTATCTTAGGAAATATGGCGTAAGTTCCCTGATTGCGTCTGTGTTGCGTGCTCGGAGTATGTTGGCAAGTAAGTTGTAAGTTGTACCTAAATAGGTAACCTGCAGTAGGCTATTGCAGCAGCTATGTAATACATTATACAACTCAACTTAATGAACCCGTAACAATACGCCTGTAGTACATGTATGATAATAATAACAATAAATATTACAATCAAAGCAAACAATTCAACCATTATTAATATTGGCATCGGTGACGGCCGGGGGAGAGGAGTACAATAATGTTCGTATTAAAGTCATGATATTATACAAATTGCAAACTGTTCTAATACACATACGACACACCTAATTATTATTCAACGTATTGTACAAACGCGTATAATATATTATAATAACATATAATATTATTGAGTGTGTGGCACACCGTGTGCGCATTTATGAGGCTCGAATACAACTATGCAGGACGGTTCGGGAACTGGTCGGCGGCCAATATCGTACTGCAGGTAATATATTAGATAGTTAAGTATACCTATACCTGTTACCCATATATTTTATATTATTGTTATACCTGCGCTGCCGTCTCGACCCGTATTCGTTCGACGTATTTGCTTTGCGGCCACCGACGGTGCAAAAGTTTCGACTCTCCGAACTCTGCGATTCCCGTCTGGCCGTCTATACAATATAGTGCGATACACGTATACACCTGCTTTGAGATTTATGCACAGGAATATAGGGTGTAACAGAAAAAACTGACAATTTTAATTCCTCACCTACTATTAAAATAAGCGAATCTAACACGATAACTTTCGTAGCAACACCAATAATGGTTTTCGATGTTTTTTTAAAATAAATTATAATCTTTGTCGATCATAATGATATTACATTGACATGGAACTATAGTCATTACATACCTACGTATAGCTATAGTTAATTCGGAAGAATTTCACTGACCAGTGAAGTTACGTTTGTTGATTATTGTTGTAACACCCTGTATAATATTATGTACACTGTACACTGTCGCACAGAGATGCACAGGGTTTGGGTTCTCGACCATGAGCAAACGAATGTGTGTTTGTCAACCGACCCGGTTCGAAAAGTTCCCATCACCTCGGCCGTACGATATACTAAAATAATAAATATACCTAATATGAAATGACCGTCGACAATGCAACGGATTCGAATGCGACGATTATTATTATTATTATTACTATGTGAAGCGTTAAATTCGGTAAAATACCTCGTCTGCAGTCCTTGGTGTATTCGACATGTATAATTCCTATAATATTGTATAAACTGCAGGTCGAATCAACAAACAGCCGTCCACGAGAGACGCGACGACTCCGGCGAATGTCACGTAAAATACCGACTGGCCAACGTGAGTTACATGTTG